TATCATCTTCTCTTGAATTTCTCCATTTGAAAGATAACTTAAAAACATTCCTACTTGGTGCTGGGGATGTATGCATATTAATGTTCTCATCTAACCCTTTCTTGGATAAAGCCAAGGTATCAGTTTCAACGGTCCTATTGAATATCTAGTTCAGAGAAGTCTTAGTCTTTTTTTTAAACAGTTTGAGAAATATGAAATTTAACTCAGATTCCTTTATAATCTTCTCTGTCCAAAACTAGTAAAATTCAATTCTTTTATCATTTCAGTGTAGGATAGTTCTTTAAGCTCATCAATATACTGGGTTGCTCAAATTTGGTTTCCTAAGCAGCAATAGCATTTCTATGACAGAGTATTCTAAATGACTGCATTCTTACTTACTGCATTTTTGTGAGTTTAACATAACCTTCCTTAGTTTTAAATTCTGATTGCCTATTTTATTCCTTCCTCAAGGTATTTGCGTGTCTTCCTACTTGGGTACCATCTGGAAACTTTGTTAGTTTACTAACACAATAATGCAAATTGAAAAGATTAGTGGTCCTAATATAGATTCTGTGATACTTTCACCATTTAATGGAAAAATCATCTGAGTTAAATGATTACAATCCATAAATGTTGTTGGGTATAATTTATCTGCATCCTCCTCCTGAAAATACTTTCTAGACTTAAATTAAAACATATGGTGGAATCTTTAAAATTGTTTTAATAAGTTATTGTATAGATGCATCACATAATAAAAGTTTCCCCAGTTTGAGCATTTTCCTCTTACCTACTCCATTTCCTGTCCTAAATAGTTCTTAATCCAAGTAATGCATTATCTTAAATGCCTTTCACCTGCATTTTATTTATATAATTTTGAGGACCTTTATCAAAAGCCTTCTTAAATTTTAAATGCATCATATCGCGTGCTCAGTTTGTATAACACTTTTACTGGTTCAGAGAATCTTAAGGAAAAATCTACCTTGTCTAAATCCATGTTGACTGTCGATTAGAATTTTATTTCTGTACAGCTGATCGTCTGATTTAGTTCTGTTGGTTCCATTACCTGGTGTGTGATAGAAGTAAGACTTGTCGAATCACTTTCATTGCTTTTGTTACTCTTTTTATGGAGTGGAGCTACATTAGCAAATATCTATGCTGTATAATCCCTGTCCCAAGAGACCGTTAGAAGAGTTTTGTAAATGTCCTATGAAAAACAGTTCTTGTTTCCTTACATAGAATTGGTAGAATACTATAAGGCCCTAGATATTTATCTTAAGTATCTCTAATATCTGTAATACCTCTGAATCTTCTGTGCTAATATTCTTTAATATAGAACTTTGTGTCTGGGTGTTCACAGTGGAGTAATAGGAACTTTGCCTGGAGGCACAAGTGTTTTTTTGCAATTGGAATCAAATTTAGTAGTCTGTGTAACCATCCATTTTAATATGGAGCAAAGGGCAAAGTATGACATTACCATTCTGCAAAGTAACCAAAGTAATTTCTGATTCACAGGGCTTTAAAAAGAAAGCAGAAGAGAAGAAGAAGAGCAACCTTGAGCTTTTCAAGGAAGAGTTAAAGCAGTATGTTTTTTTATAAAATATTTTGTCTCCAGTTTTTCTTTTTGTGCCTTTCCAGTTTTGGTATTTAAATATTCACGGCTCACCATTGTAACCCTGTGTGAGGGCTTTAAAAGGTTTCAAAATGCTTATTGTTGACCGAGTTACCGTTTTATGCCCTGTGAGCTGTATGGTGCCTTATAGCAAAGTTAGTGTGGAATGGAAGAAATATGCATCTCTCACTGACTCTTCAAATCCTGGCTGGATTGCAGTTACATGACAAAGAATACGTTGCCCATCTCTGGGCAGCTGTCTTATGCAACTTTTAACCGTGGAAAAAGTTGGCAAATTGTTATAATTGAGAAATTTTGGACAGTCAGTTAATGATGGAACTTTGATCCAGTGATATCTGGATTTTAAGGCTAGTGAGCAAGTGGCGTAAGAACATAAGAAAGGTTACAAAAGAGAGGAGGCTATTGAGCTTATCTTGCTTGTTTAGTAGTTAGTGAATTGATCTGAGGATCTCATCTTTCCATTTCTTAAAAGAAGCCAGGATATCAGCTTTAAAATCTGATCTGTACTCCCACAACCTTTATAGTTTTGCCCCAATCTTTATGTTGAGTAGAATCCTTTGTGCACATGGTCCAATGTTTAGTTGTGTACAATTATGAATCTTGATTTTATTTTTTAGGATACAGGAGGAGCGGGAGGAAAGATACAAAAGGAAAAAATTAACGAATGAGCCAGGTGGTTATGGAGACATAGATACACTGCAGTCTCGACGGTCATGTAAGAATACATTTGCCCTCTGTGATAATTTTGTAACATGTCAAGCATGCCAATAATTCAGTTATTCCTTCTAAAATCTGATCAGTATTGAAATGATTAATAATTGTAATTGGTTGGCTCAAGCTTGTTCTGAAAACAAAATCATAATCAAGCTGATAAAATAAGTTGTTTGATACAACATGCTATTATGATTCGGACTTTCTGGACTGCTTACTATAGGCATATCAAAAGAAAGTGGTAAACTAGGATAAACTTACATTTCACAAGATGAGGAATGCCACTCTTTAAAATGAGGAAAATATATAGGTTCCATAATAATTCGTTTAGAAATGATAACAGATTGCTAAATTGAATTTGAAGTAATACACTGAAATATTGATAGTAGCTATCATCACTGTTACAACAGGTGGCTTTTCTATTGTTGGTACTCACACACATCTTGTTACTAATGCTCAATATATTCTTTTATCTGAAATCTTACATTATTGCACGTTTTTGCTGGAGTACCCACATATTAAGTTTCAGACACAAGAAACAAATGGCACCCATTGAAAGAAAACATTTGTTTTTTTGCAGTGCCATTCCTCACCTTTGGGGCAGTTGAGAATAGTGGTTTGGCCTCAGTGTTGCTTCAATACTCTTTAATTTTTTGTATCCCGTTAAGTTTTCAGATTTATAGGCTTTAAGAGCATGACACTAACCTTGAACTGAAGACATTAGCTTGCATTTGGTTAAGTGTGTGTCCTCAAGGCTATGATCAGTCTTCATTCATAGCTCCTTGAGAAACACCTTTGTCCATACTTTTATCTGAT